TCTTCAGCCCCTGACTAGTGTGGCTCAGTTGGTTGGGCATTATCCCACAAACAGAAAAGTTGCCGGTTGGATTCCCAGTCAGAGCACATGCCTGGGTTGTGGGTTCAGTCCCCGGTTGGGGTGTGTATGAGAGGTAGCTGATAGATGTTTCTCTCTCATATCGATGTTTCTTTTTCTCCCTCCCTTCCCCTCTCTAAAAATAAATAAATAAACAATCTTAAAAAAAAAAACTCTTCAGAGAAATGTAGAAAAATTTAGTCTTCATTATAGAACATTAACAATATACAGGATCAATTCAAAATTTCTTGGCATACATACAAATGTAACCCACTCTAAAGAAAGAAAAAGATAATCATGAAGACCAATCCCAATCAGGCTCAGATGTTAGAATTAAAGCAGCCGTTTGACTACACTCGATTACAAAGAGAAAAATAAGGTCATAATGAATCAAAAGGCAACTACAGAGACAAACAGTAATGAAATAAAAAGAACCAAATGTATGTTCTAAAACTAAAATATACAATATCTGAAATAAAACATTCACTGGATAGGCTTAATATTAAAATGGAGGTGGAGGAAAGATTCAGTGCACTTGAAAATAGATGAATAGAAACTATCCATTCTGAAGAACAAAGAGAAAAAAGGTTGGGGGAAAGAAATGAACAGAGACAGAAAAAAAATAAATACTTGAAGAAATAATGGGCAAATTGCCCCCAACTTTAATCAAAGACACACAGCATCAAAGGCAATGAAATTGCTCAGGCAAGTCTAGTGCTGAGACCTATTTCTGCATGTCTTCATTAATTCTCAGGTCCAGTACACAGAGGAGAGTAAGTGTGTCCCCTGGGGTATAGCTCTGACTAGAAAGCCAAGTATTTGAAAAGAAAATGTGTAAAATTCAATGGGTAGGGAAAGATTCAAGTCCACTACCTATTTTCTTGCCTGTTTCCTGGCTTTTGAAAAGATTACTAAATGCCCTTTCTCTTTCAACTCTTGCCTCCCTTACTCTCCTCAGTTTACCCAAAAGTATTCTCAATAAATGAATAAATCTGTGCTGCCAACTTGCCACCCCTTTGCCCTTCAGCCAAACCCATCAAGTCTGAACCTGATTCAGCCTTCCCACCCACATGCACATCTCCAATTTACCCTAGCCATGGTCTCACGTCCTTTAGAATAAGGGTCTAGCACCATCTTGAAGACTCACCTCTTTTTCCATGAGGCTATCCACTTTGCCCATCTTAAAGCATCTGGTTTAGCTTACATAAATAATGTCACAAAATGGGGCCCAAGTGTTTTGCAGAATGACATTCCTAAGGGGAAATGAGGCTTGAAGTACAAACCTCTTATTCATAAACTGATCTCAGGTCTATCTGAACCAAAAGCAGACCCTATGTGAAAGAATTACCAAGAGCTGCAAAAGAGCTTCATACTAAGGAGGGCTGAAAATCACAAGCATTCTCCTTATGGCACCTGCTGTAAATCCCCAAGATTTACAGTCAGTAAGAGTTGTGTGCAGCTGTAATCATGCCTCATGCTGGCATGATAACCTTTCCAGAAACCAGGTGTTTTTTGTGTCTGGGCTTAATCACATAATCCAGCCAAGCCCTGGGCCACATGACTTTATCATGCAGCAGGTGGCAGCCCAATGTCCAATCTCAGAAACCAAGCCAGGTCAGCCTTCAGTTAGGGAAGTACATGGGACATTCTTGTAATAAGGGTCCTAAAGGTAGGGGAGTGACAACCCATGCAGACACAGAGTGTTCACACACAGGGCTGACCCATTCTTTCCCCAAGAAGCCTCTGGTGGAGTACTCAGAGAACAGCGTCTCTACATTTCTTGATAGGACATAATTCTGTTGTACGTACACATATGTGAATCAGAATCTCTGAGTTTATAAGATTCGGAAAAGATGATTCTATAGAATCTTCATTTCTGCTAATTTATCTCAATAAAAACTCACTGGAACTCAAAAAGAAAAGCATCTTGATAGGGACATAGTTTTGTTCCTGACCTATGAACACTGGTGCCCAGTATGGAACAGGGCACCAGGGCTGAGAAATGATTGAATTGAGATACAGAGGAGTCTACAGCCATACCACCCTGAATACGCCCGATCTCGTCAGATCTCGGAAGCTAAGCAGGGTTGGGCCCAGGTAGTACTTGGATGGGAAATACAGAGGAGAGTGGAAATGCCCTCTGTTTATTGCTTCTTCAGTTCTATTTCTCGGGAAGAAAATATAGAACAGGAGAGAAGTATTTCTGCTTTTTTTTCTTTCCCATGGGTAACCTTGATCCTACCCCTTTTCTTTTTAAGGCCCCTATGATCAGTAACAATTTTTGTTTTGGAAATTCTTTCAGCTTCTGCATTCCTCCATTTTGGCCATGTCTTGACAGGAATGATTATTATTACTCTGGCTCTGGCAAGGACAGAGGGAATTTCTGGGTGATATGTTTATTGTTATAAGTGACCTGAGGCAAGGATAATTTAGGACAGGTGAGAGGGGAAGTTTTTGTTTTGCACAACACCTTCGGGAGGCAGAAGGGTCTGTGAAGGCTCCACCTGGGGGCTCCTGTCCCACAGAGAGGGTTTACCCTCATTCTCCTAAACCTGTGGGCACCAAACAGAAAGTATTCCTCAATACCCACCCTCAAACACCCTTCTCTCTATCTCCAGGACATGAAGTAGATCCCTAATATGACCACCTCTGGAGCTGTGCTATACTTTACATTCACAAGGTGCTCTTCATTTCCTGCGAATTGGAGAGAAATAGATGAGAAGACCAGTCAGTATCTAGAGGCTGACCATGGTGTTTGCAAGCCAGTCTTCAGCATAGATATTATCTTTTACTACCAATAATCAAATATCTCATGCATATGCTAAGGACTTTTCATTAGTATTGACCAAAGTTTCTTTAAAAACAGAGAGAAAGCAATGCTCTGGAAGGGTCCACATCTCTTCTTGTGGTCTTCAGACTCTTAGAAACTAAGAACGCTTTTTTTTCTTGGTAAAATAAAGCCCAAAATTCAAGATTCATATTGTTTAATAAGTCAGAGGTTTAAAAATGGGTTGCATACATGACAATTTTTTTTCAAAAAGGACCTGGAAACTTTGTGCTTAATCCAAATCATTTAAGAGAACTGCTTGGCCTAAAAGTGACCTGATTCAAGTCAAGCATCAGAGACGGCACTCCACTCCCTCCCACCCAGTGGTCCCCACCAAGCTCAGGAATCCTTTGACTTCATTTCTGCCCCTGTACCTCCCCTGGTCAGTCTTTTCTGCCCCACAACTGAGACATGGACTTCTTCCTTTGAATCTAAAAGATAGCAGCTTTTTGTAGAAACTCTATGCCTCCGACCCATAATCTCAACAGAGGACGGTTCCAGGCCTGCCCTGGGGGTAATTGGGTGAAGAATGAATCAGAGCTATTCTGCTTAGCCTGGGACATCTGGGACCTTCCCTACAAAAACACAAAGTTATCAGGCACAGGGAGGAAATTTACCAGGTTTTGATCACCTATAATTTGCGGGCACTGTGCTGGTACCATTTCACCTCCACCCCACAGCAATCCTGAGACAATGAGGAATGGCACAGGCAAAGAATGCATCCATCTTTCAGGTCTCATCTTGGGACTAAGCTGTACAATCTGAAAGGCTGCACAGCTGCACTCAGAGATGATTGTACTCCACTGACTCACCAGTTGCAAGTTACCATCTGGAGGTAACTGAGTTTGTCAATGGCAGGTTCTGTTAGATCCTTGCAACTCACAGAACAACCCTGAGATTGATCACTTTGTCCCACTCCCTCATTACAGATAACCTCTGAGACCCAAATACACTGAGCCCAGTGGTTCAATCTCTGCACAGACTGGATCTAAAGAATCAGAGTTTATAAAACATGAGTAATTTTAAAAGAAATATTATTTTTTCATACTCTTGAAGAACATTCAAGGGGACCACAATTCAAAATTGATAGCATAACTTCAAAAAGCCCACTCTTGCTCTATCATTAAGTTCTCTTTCACCACTACCAACATCGCTATCACCACCCAAGCTGACCTGGAGTTTAACTGCCAAAGCCCAAAACTCCTTTTTCAATAGCAGCCCCCCAGTTTCTATCCCTTTATTACTTTGCTTAAACTCCAATTCTTTTCATATAAATCAATTTAGTCTTTCCCTCCACTTTTTCTCCACCCCACCCTAACCCCTCCCCCCACACAAGAATCCTTCTTCTTTAGAAGAGATTGGGAAAAAATTGAACAGGCTAATATTGGGTTCGCCAAAAAGTTTGTTTGGTTTTTTCTGTAAGATGGCTCTAGGAACACTTAGTTGTCTTTAACTTCATCCAAAACAATTTTGTTAGATTGTATTATGACAGCTGTTGTATCAATATGCATTTTTAAAAAATTACCAAAATCAGTGAATACTTGTGCAGCTATTTTAATATTGAAGATTGGAGAAGATATGCAACATTTTCAGCATATTATGTTTTATTATTTCAAGAAAGGTAAAAACACAACTGAAACTAAAAAAAAAGATTTGTATCATGAATGGAGAAGGTGCTGTGAATGATTGAATATGTCAAAAGTGGTTTGTGAAGTTTCATGCTGGAGATTTCTCACTGGATGATGCTCCATGGTCAGATAAACCAATTGAAGTTGATAGTGATCAAATTGAGACATTAATTGAGAGCAATCAACATTATACCATGTGGGAGATAGCTGACATACTCAGTATATCCAAATCAATACAGTTATTGGTGAAAATGAAAAATGTGTTTTTTTATTTTATAGAAAAAACATACAGACCTTCTGGCCAACCCAATACATGCAGGATTTTCTTTCAGAAATATAGGAAATTAACATTAAGTCATTAATAGCATATGTTGGTAGTGTACATTAATGCATTGTCAAACATTATTACATTAATGTTGTACATTAGTATCATACATTACTCCATTCGTGTTCTATGTTAATACATATATTCACACCTCTGCCCTCACCTCGATGTGGTCAGGCCTTCCATTGGTATGGACCCTTTCTGGTACGCCAGCTTGGGCTTGAAGGACTCTCTGGGCAGGTACGAGTGATAGAGAGGGTAGTTCTCTGTGTATTCGGAGAGAAGACATGGTTTCTCGGTTTTATCAAAAATCTTGGTAGGGAGATGTGGACAATGATGCCGCCTATAAAAACATGAAGTTAGGTCAGTTACCTTCTTGAGGAGTTATATCCACTTGGTATCCCAGACTATAAAGGCATGACAGCAGTCATTGAAAACAGAAATTTAACTCTTCCTTTTCTCTATTGAACTAAGTAATATTGCCAGAATTTTTTAAATGATCTGTAACAGCAGTTGGTTGTCAAAATTCCTTGGATCATAAAATTACACACAAACATGGCTGGTGTTCAGCTGTTACACATGCATACTGGTTGTCTAAATACTTCCCTACCATAATAGTTAACTGGTTGTGGCCCCTGAACCCTCTGAGTACCAACCCAGCTGCCCCAAGCCCTCCCCTGAGACTTCCCAATCACCCAGCACCTGACTGAACCAGGTTCTCCATGGCTGTGCTCTAGGATGAGGCTACCATTTTCCCTCATTGGTTTCTGGGTCAGTTCAGAATATTATCCTGCACACAAGTCGTATACTAAATGCCAGTGACTGTGGGAAACCATTTTCACATTGAAAATGTGGCTCCTGTATTCTTTCAGGTCTCACCTCAATTGTTGCCTCCTTAAAAAGACTTCTGCTGATCATTTTATACCCAAAATATATCCCACTACCCCCACCCCCTCACTGTTTCTCTCACCACCTATATGCCTTTCTCAGCACTATTGTTATTGGTAATTGAGTGTGTGTTGATGAATTTGTTTATTGGCTGCCTCATCTATCAAGGTCAGGACCTTCTCTGTCTTGTTCACTGCTATTATCCCTAGTACCTTATATCCTGCCTTGCACACAGTAGGCATTCAGTAAACATTTATTGAATAAATGACTGAGTATGTAAATGAATGTTAAGCTCTGTGCTTCATTATTCAGGTGATAATAAATAAATAAATTTCAGTTATAATTTACAGTGAGCTTTTCATTTTATATGCTAGTAATAAATGAACCTTATCACTCTACTAATTGCTGGACAAAGGACAGCTATTGGAGCTCTCAAAAACTAAGGAGAGCATCAATTATTTGTGTCCACATACAATTCTTACAAACCAACTGGGTCGCTTCTAGTCATCAGACACCAGCAATTCATCAAAACTCCATTAGTGATTTCCAATCTAGTTATATCAAGGAATGGCATGGAATTATTGTAAAACTTTACACTAAAGTGATTTTAATTATAGAAACTAAAATACACAGAATTCTGGGGTAGTATATAGAGAAGGAGAGAAACAAATATACAGAGAATTCATCATTCTCTAAAGGTATTTAGTACCCTGCTCTGGTTAATAAATTTAAGCCTCTACATAAATGCTGCTGCCTCAGTGTTGTTTCTAGGTACCTCTCTTCAACTCTCCAACCCTGTATTGTTCTAAAGGGTGATCTATACCTGTATTGCTCATATGAATGCAACTGTATATAAACAAGTACCTTTATAGATATCTCTATTTTCTTCTCATTTGTAGATTTCTGTTTTGAAAATCTGTAAGATGTTATAAACTTGTCACATTTACTTTTTATTTGTTATTATATAATTGTGTTATTGATTCATGATGAATATTTTAGGTTTTCCAAATTACAAGGAAATCCTCCACAAATATTGTCCCTATACTATGAATATCTTAATTTCACAGGATTAAATGTACTCAGTAAAATTTTAGTTTTTCTTTTTCAAAATGCACATTGTTGACTTTTGGCCAAGATGAAGGTATAGGTAGATACACTTTGCCTCCTCACACAACCAAAAGAAGGACAACAAAAAATTTAAACACAAACTCAGACTTCCGGCCAAGATGGAGGCATAAGTAGACACACTGTGCCTCCTTGCACAATCAAAATAAGGACAACAACAATTTAGAAACAAAATAACAACCAGAACTGACAGAAAATTGAATTGTATGGAAGCCGGACAACCAAGGAGTTAAAATAGACACATTCATCCAGACCGGTAGGAAGGGCAGAGTCAGGCAGCGGGGTGGAGAGGGATCGAGGCATATAAAGCGGTAACACCGGGCATATAAGGCATCCCAGACACACAAGAATGCAGCAGGTGGGCCCTGGGTGCGCAAGCAGCAGCTGGCAGACCCTGGGCACAGGGTGGCAACAGGCAGACCCAGCGAGGCAGCAACTGTGAAGTGAGACACTGCATGCAAGGCTGACCAGGCGGTCCCATATTTCCACACAGATAAACCATGGGAAATTGGGGAGCAAAATAGACTGCACAATCCAAGGTCCCAGTGCTGGTAAATAGAGCCTGAGGGCACTGATTGAAAATACCTGTGGGGGTTGAGGTGCCAGGAGAGACTCCCAACCTCACAGGAGAGATTGTTGGAGAGACCCACAGGGTCCTAGAACATGTACAAGCCCACCCACATGAGAATTAGCACCAAAAAGGCCCAGTTTGCTTGGGGGAAGCAGCAGAAGGGACTGAAATCCGACAGAGAGTGGAGCAAGTGCCATTGTTCCCTCTCAGACCTCACCCCCCACATAAAGCATCACAATCCAGCAACTGGATTGCCCTGCCCTGGTGAACACCTAAGGCTCCGCCCCTCATACATAACAGGCATGGCAAGACAAAAAAAAAAAAAAAAAGACCCAAACAGAAGGACAGATCAAAGCTCCACAGCAAATACAACTAAGCAATGAAGAGATAGCCAACCTATCAGATGTGCAGTTCAAAGCACTGGATGCACACAGAACTGGTTGAATTTGGTTGCAAATTAGATGAAAAAATGAAGGCTATGCTAAGTGAAATAAAGGAAAATGCACAGGGAACCAATAGCGATGGGAAGAAAACTGAGACTCAAATCAATGGAGTGGACCAGAAGGAAGAAAGAAACAACCAAACAGAAAAGAATGAACTAAGAATTCAAAAGAATGAGGAGAGGCTTAGGAACCTCCAGGACATCTTTAAATATTCCAACATCCGAATGATAGGGGTACCAGAACGGGAAGAGGAAGAGCAACAAGTGGAAAAGTTATTTGAACAAATAATAAAGGAGAACTTCCCCAATCTGGCTAAGGAAATAGACTTCCAGAAAGTCCAGGAAGCTCAGAGAGCTCCAAAGAAGTTGGATCCAAGGAGGAACACACCAAGGCACATCATAATTACATGAGCTAAGATAAAAATGAAAGAGAATCCTAGAAGCAGCAAGACATACAGAGACAGTTACCTGCAAAGGAGTTCCCATCAGATTGTCACCTGATTTCTTAAAGAGATCTTACAGGCAAGAAGGGGCTGGAAAGAAGTATTCCAAGTCATGAAAGGCAAGGGCCTACATCCAAGATTGCTCTATCCAGCAAATCTTTCATTTAGAATGGAAGGGCAAATAAAGTGCTTCCTAGATAAGGTCAAGTTAAAGGAGTCCATCATCACCAAGCCCTTATTCTATGAAATGTTAAAGGCACTTATCCAAGAAAAAGAAGATAAAAAACATGTGTACCAAAATGACAGCAAACTCACAATTACTAACAACCACACCTAAAATAAAAACAGAAACAAAAAGAAACTAAGCAAACAACTAGAACAGGAACAGAACCACAGAAATGGAGATCACATGGAGGGTTAGCACCAGGGGATTGGGAGGAGGAGAGAAGGGAAAATGTACAGAGAATAAGTAGCATAGATGGTAGAGAGAAAATAGGCAGAGGGAGGGCAAGAATAGTATGGGAAATGTAGAAGGTAAAGAACTTATGACACATGGACATGAACTAAAGGGGGATAATGTGGGTGGGAGAGTGTGTGCAGGGTGGAGGGGAATGAAGGGGGGGGGAAATGGGACAACTGTAATAGCATAATCAATGAAATATATTTTTAAAAATGTACATTGTTGGCATTTAATACACAAAAATGAATATGTATTTATATATATTTAATAAAGGTATCTCTTAATCATAGGAACATAAGTTGAGTCTTATATTCTTCTATTCTCAAGATAAATTGTTGTGTTTCATGGTAAACAAAATAACCATCTCCTACAGTATAAAAACATTTGCTATTATCACCCTTTCTGTGCTAGCAATCCATCCAATTTCCCAAGATTTCAATTTGGGCCAATTAGTACACCATTATTTTAGGATCCCTACAAATCTCAAATCAAAAGCCAAGAAGTGTATTGACTTCCAAAAATGTCTCTGCAGATATATTTACCCACACTCTCTGACAGAAAAGTCAAGATTTTATTAATAATAACAGATTCAGGCACTTGCAATAAAACAAACTCCACAGACATAGCAATGTTCTTCCTCTCCAGTGCCCTTGTTGTTTAAGCCAGTAAAACTTTGCTTTATATAACTCCCCTTCTATATTGTTACTTTTAAAAACTGTAACATACTGTAAAGCCTTATTCCAAAAGAAAAATAAATTTCATGGAAAAATACTACATTGTGATTGGTATCCTGAGAGAGGATTTTAGTATAGAAAACACTTGCATCCAGACATTGATGTTCCATTAAAAGGAATTATATCTAATATATATTTATAGGGCAGACTTTATTTATTTGACTTGTTGCCAGTTAACTAAAACCTAGTCTTACTTTGAAATATCAAAACTCTTATTTCAAAGTAAATATTTCATTGCCTGAGTTTGCTCAAGAGGCCACCTGCTTTCCTTACCTGTACCCACACACACTGAATATCCCTCTCAAATCACTGAACACCATGAATTCTCCTTGTTGGTCTTTATCGAGGAGTTTCTCAAAGATAAAGACAAAGTCTGTTCTGGAAACTAGCCCAAAGCCTGACATACTTATTTTACAGGTGGATAAACAGTTAGGTAGTGTATAGGAAGATGAAGTACTGAAAGAAAAATATTTACAAAGAAAATGAATTGTTCTAACATTAGTGGAGCAAATGGGGAAAAGACAGATTCTCAGTTTTTATGGATCTAGATAGTGCCTAAAGAAAGTTTATAGAATCACCATACTTGGGGTGTTTAAAAGTAGTCTCACCCTGGCTGGTGCAGCTCAGTAGATTGAGTGCCAGCCTGTGAACCAAAGGGTCACTGGTTTGAATCCCAGTCAGGGCACATGTCTGTTGTGAGCCAGGTCCCCAGTAGGGGACA